AATTTGAACGTTCTTCTTATCATAAACTTAAATTCACATATTAGTATTAACTTAGATTTACATATTGGTATTGAACCGGGATTGCTCTGATAGATGTGAAAAGAATATCTGCGCATGTGATCAGCAGATCAACAACACAGATTCTCTAATCTTAATTCCTTGTCTTCTTGCAAACAAAGATGTAATGATTGTGATCACTGACCCTAACACCAAAAATGTAGTTACCTAACATACATTGCTACAACCTTTGTGAAGAAGCAACCTATGCATACAAAGAGCGAAGATAAAAGAGGGGGAGCATGATGCCAGTTGTTTCATGTGGCACCATGTGGAAAATACAAAGACAAGACAAGGCAGGTTCAGGGTTAGCCTAAAGCTTAGTGAGCTGCATCAGGTGATAGTTTTAGTAGTTTTTTTTTTGGAAGCTTCATGCACATGAGTCCTCCTTCTATTCAAGTGTGAAGTAATGTAGTCAAGTGCATCAACACAAACAGAGAGAGAGAGAGAGAGAGAGAGAGAGAGAGAGAGAGAGAGAGTGAGATTCATTACAAGTTGTTTATCATGTCTCATTGTAGGCCACACACTCCCTCTTCCTTCTTGCACAGTTCTAGATGTGCACATGTGAGTAAGAAACGAACAAAGCATGTCCATGCATGCATTTGAGGATAAAGCTAGATTTCTTTACTTAAGGACAATATATGATTTCATTCTCTTAAAGTTAATCAATGAAACTGATCAACTAATAAAGCATGTGAGATGATACTTATCTTTGTTACTTGTATCTTTCTAATAGAGTTTTTGGCAAGGATTTTAAAGACAAATGCACAATAAACTTAAGAATTAATTACCGATCTCATGTTGTAAATCTCGTCTTTTTCTCTCTGTCCAATGAGAAGTGTGTGATCAAAGTTTAAAAGGACACTCAAATTTTAACTCTTTCCTTGTCCTAAGAAGAGTTCAGAGATGCTCCAAAACCTACAAAAAGATGCACAGTTCTAAAGAATTCATGTGATATGATGCCACCTCCATCAGTAAAATTAGATGTAAAAGGATCTTAACTTCAATTCTTTTATTATGATCTCCCATGGGCTCTTTCTTATTGGCTTGCTAGCATAATTAAAGTTTAGTTAGCAGTACTATCACATTTTCTCTAGTAATATAATTGAAGTGGGGCCTTCATAATTTATTGGTGCATTCAAAATGTTTTCAACCCTTTTTCAATGCAGAGAAGGTTGAAGACAAAGAAATCAATCATGATTCATGAATCAAGCAAATGTTTATCTTATAAGCAGAAAGGCCATTACTCTTTACTCTGATGAACAATAGCTTTTAATATTGTAAAAGGAAAAGGGAGGAAAAGACACACCAAGGATGAGGGCTTGCTAGACAAGGGAAGCTTTACAGAAAACATCTCCTTCTTTTTCTCCTAGAAATAGACACCATTGTGGGTCAGTTGGCTCAGAGAGCATTAACGGAGGAGCTGATTAAAGTCCTATCCTCCCTTAAAGTTAGGTTTTTCTTGATATTATTTTGAAATTAGTCCCTCAAATTATTGAAATTGCTAGTTTATTCCCTCAAATTATTTAACTAACTTTTTGTCATGTCTATCTAGTTGTGTACTTTTGTTTAAGTTATTTCAAACTTGAACTTAAAACCTCAAATATGAGTTCCTGTACCAGTTAAATATGTTTTCTTTGAGAAAGGAAACAGGGCAGGTAGCCGTGTTCATTCATTAATTATAATATATACAGGATCTGGAAATAATCCATGGAGGTAAGGGCATTGATCAAGGAGGGAGCCGAGGGAGCGGACCTTATCGTAACCTCCACGACCTTACTAATCAAAGCCAAAATTACCAGCCAGGGGGGACACAAACCCAAATAAAGCAATGTTGGCACACTCAACAAAAACAGAGTATTGGTTGGCACATCCAACCTAAGCATAAACATAGTATTTTAGAATAAACAACAAGTATCAAAACAGACATGTCTGAACAGAGCTTCGAAAGGAGCCTAAGAGTTTGGAGGCTGCTGAGGATTCTGCTGATCAAAGTTGGAGGGGGCTGCATAGCAGAGCTTCTAGTCCCTGACCCTTGGCAATGAAGTTGATAGCGTCCGCCTTCTTTGAGCCTATGCTCCCTGACCAGAACAGATCGTGAGATGCCATGATAGAAGCGATCAAGTGTGGCATGGGGATGAGATTGTTATGACTCCTCCATATACACCAGCAAAAGGTTGGGAATAACACCTTCCAAAGTCTCTTTTGCTTATTGTCTAGAATGAAGCTACACTTTGATTCCAGAAGTGAATCAAATTTGCAGGCCAGATTACTGACGAAAAATTAGGAGTGTAATGATCCCAGATTGATTTGGTAAAGGAGCATGAATAAAGAAGGTGAGAATCAGTCTCTTCCTCTGATTGACAAAATGGGCATAGGGTAACTCCTGTCCAACCCTTTACTGCTAGCATTGCTCTAGTTTACAGTTTCCTTTTGGATAAGATCCAAAAGAAAATTTTCACTTTGAATGGAACAGAAGATTAACATATAAAGGAGAACATGGAATTTGAACATCCTCCACTGATAAGGAACTGTAGAATAATTTGACTATGAATTCACCAGACAGGTGCAGAGGCCATGAAATTGTTGTGCGCAGCGGAAATTTCGGCAGCACCTCCGGTGCGCAAAGTGCACAATAAGAGATTAGATCACAACGGAATTCTCGTTTCTCAAAGGAAACAAGAACCGAAAGCCAGATATCTCATCAAAGTGAGATATCAGCTCTTCCTCTCGTCAGCTCTAGGACTGCGCGTCGAGGGAACCTACAAGCTATTACAAATCACGGCAAGAACACAAATTTTTACGTGGTTCGGCAAACTGCCTACGTCCACGGGGCAAGGAGGGGGAGATCTACTATTAGAGAGAGAGATACAATTGGGTTTACAATCACTCAATCTAAACCCTCAAACAAACTCTCAAATCCCTCACACAAAATCTCTCTCAAAAGGATGCACAAAATTCAACCGCAAACCACAAGAAACTCACAGCCGAAAAACACCTCTCACAAACCCTTGCACTCTGTGTTTTTCCACTTGCAGCAGCAAAACAAATAAACAAATCCCTGCTCTGCTTTTTCTCTGCAGCCGCACAAAAGCACCCAGCCCTCTTCTCTTCTGCAGCCGCAAACAAATCACGCTCAAGTCCTTTGCTTTTTCTTCGTTGGCGGCTCTGAAGAAAACTCCTGCCTTGCTTTAAAAACTAGGTTAATCAACGTGCATTTATAGAGCACGAACAAATAAAGACTCGGGTGGGCCATCTCAAAAAAAATCCGCCCGCTTGTGCCGCTTGCTTCCGCGTTCCGCGTGGGCACGTGATAGCGCGTCTCATGAACGCGTTGGTTGAGTTTAGGTGGGCCCCCGCTTTTCACAATTCTCCACCTCGGCGAAATTTTCTACCAAAACTGAGCCGATACCAAAGCAACCAAATGTTCCACTTGTTGTGTCCAGTACGAACTCAATCCGCAACAAGTCTAGAACCCGAACGAGAGTCCAAACAATCTCACCCCCATCAACTAATCCAAACCGGCTGCATCATAAAGACTGCCTACGTATCCTCTTGCCCAAGGAATCAAGCCGAACGTAGTTCATCCAAACGGCCTCCAAAGGCCTCAATCCACTAGAAGAGTTCGCAACCCTTCTCCAACATCACGATCAAGTCTACGGTTGATAGCACCTCCAATGGCCCCAAACTGAAACAATCCAAACACCTCCACCTGAGATGAACCAATGGCCATATCCAGACTACATCTATCAGCTGCACTCGAATCAATTAACCGATCATCTGCATCCAAATCAACACGATTCCCAATCTGTGTCACATCAGCTGGAATCCCAAATGATACAGTATGATCTGAAGTTTCCACCCAACGTGGAGTAGCATCACTCTCCACCCACTGTGATGTCCTAATGATCTGATCACCACTCTCCACCTGACAAGAGTCAAACGTGACATACCTGCTCAGAACAAAGTCAGAAGCCAATACCTGATAATCAAACATGTCTCTGAATCCCAAATGTGCTATCGGATCAAATCTCACATCCACGATGTGACCAAGTGCTGGGTAACTAAACATCCGACGTAACCCAAAATCTAAAGCAGCTCCACCAGATCCAAAATCTCTACATGCAGCAGTTGGCAACCTATACATAAGATGACCCAAACATGTCGTAGCCCGCACATCAATGCCAATGCTCGACATCAAACGCCGATCCTTCTCCAGAAAGGAACAGCTCCCCAAATCTGCCATCTCATCACGTTGCCTCAAAGTTTCCACACCAATAAAGTGTCTCCTATTACCATGAGCTCAGCACAAATGCAGATATAGGTCCCTCTTGTACCTCCCTCTAACATCAGACTGAAGTACCTTCACCTTTCTGCCAATACACTTCCTCAATTTGTTGTGAGCTTCAAGGACTTCACACCAACGGAACTTGGTTGCAACCCACCAATGCCTAGAGCAATCCCCAACTGCGGAAACCACATACCTATTACCTCCCAATGATGCTGCTTTGGAAGGCCCCCGAATGCCTGAATGAACACCCCTCAGAAGACCCCTCGAATGATGGATAGAAGTGCCCAACTCCACCTCGGTCTTCTTGCTCATACCAATGAGTTCACAGGACTTCAAACTGTAGGTCAAAGCACTCCTCAATAACCTATGCACGGTATTACCAATCAAATAACCCAGCATCAAACAACGCCACAGTCTAGCTGAATATGATGAAGTCGTCATCTCCCTATCAATCGCCGTGCTTCCGAGCAAATAATACAAATTGCTCCTTCTGACGCCCTTCATCACAATCATGGATCCCAATGTGACCTTCAAACGTGCATCCACCAAGGTCACTTTATAGCCGATGCCACCAAAGCTCCTAGTGAAATGAT